TGGTTTTTTTTTTCCACTGCCATCTGGTGTATTACATAGACCAAACAAAAAAAAAGAACAATTGGCAGATTAATTAGGTCGGCTGAGTCAGTGAACTCTTTTAAGTCCCTTCTTAAAACATACTTTTATAGGAGGGCTTTTCCTGATCTTATTTGACTTTATTTTATCCATTTTATTTTACTAATTTTATATTAATTTTTCATGCTCTTATCTTGTTTTTTTGTATTATTCTTTACACTTGTTAAAGCACTTTGTAACTTGTTTTTGAAAAGTGCTCTACAAATAAGGATTATTATTATTATTATTATTATTATTATTATTATTATTATTAATTAACAATTAATGTACTATAATCTGCTAGCCGAATACTATTGTTGGGCTAGTGCTTTCTATCACTTTAAATTAAAATCCCATCTCCAAACTCTCCACACAGCCAAGTAGATTTCTGTTTTACATCTTAATAGGAGGATTAAACATGATCAGATTAAGCCTGGCAGTCAAGTAGGGATGCAACAATATGAAGCACCTATCCAATACAACATGCACTCTTTGGTCCCAAATTTAAAACGTATTTCATCCATCCCTGTGTACAGCTCACTGGAATCATGTTGTTATAAGGTCACACAAGGCCGGGGATCACTGTGGTGCTCAAAAACTGACTGACTGAATGGATCGATATGTCATGGACGATACCTAATCTACTTAATGAGGTCAATAACAGTGTCGATACCAAACCAGCATATCAGATAACTAGGAACAAAGCAACATCATACATTTTTTGGGACAGAATAACTGGACTTTCTCAGAAAAGAGGCAAATTAACCTGCCGTTGTAATAAACACTACAGACTGGGGCTATTCTATACATGCACATTTCACTGCACAAAGCAGGCACCGGCTGCGGGCCACTACTGGCGTCATGTGAACTTTCAGAGGTCTTAAACACAACTGCAGGACGATAAATTAACATTCAAAGTGAGATGATTCAGAGAAAAGAAAGTAGAAAGGTTTGGGACGATGAGCACCAGAGCATCAGTGTTTCTCATCCAATCGCAGCGTCACTTTGCTGATGAACAAACAGCCCTCGCCTTCCTGCTAAAGCAACTTAGCTTGATAACAATGATGAGAATGATTCTTCAACTGTAAATACATGCGGCCAGGAAATTATGTTTTACCTAAATACTCCTTTAATTTCCAGTAAGCTCCATTAAGTGTGACTCTCTATGGTTTGCTACAAGTGACTCAAAAAGCCTGGAAGCAAAACGTCTGAACAGCTCGTGTCGCTTTCTAAAAAGACAACTGGTGGTGATTTAAGTATGAACAGGATTGAACCCTTTAAATGTCTGATTCATTGATCTCCTCTTTCTAAAGCATTTGTCACATGGGAAAAGGACACTTGACTTAACTGGTTTTGCTTCTCTCTTGCAAAAGATGTGCAGTATTCTGAATTTCCAGTCAATAGATGATTCGTTTAACTTTAGCTGGATTGTTATTGGGGGGTAAAAAAAAACTGAAACCGAGCTGCAGAAATGAGTGACACCTACAGAATCTGTAACCGACAATGTAAATAAGACAACACAGCCCCAACCTGCACAGTTTGACTGACAGGCGGGCTATGGGAAGGAAACTCATCTAAATTTACAAGAAACATACAACAGATACAAAAACTCACGGCAGGTCAGGTGGGGCTAGCTGGGTGTGTGTTTGACTGTGTGTGTGTGTGTGTGTGTGTGTGTGTAAGCTGCAGTGTGTTGAGGTGGACAGCTTGTTATCTGGGCTGAACTGCGGAGCTTAATATTCAGCCAGCAGCCAGATTAGTTCAGGACAGCCTGTCAGTGTGCAGCTGCAGGGGAACTGATGGAGAGACAGTGAAGGGGAGAGGGTTTTGTACCGCAGTGTGTACCAACCAACATGTGCTTCTATGTTTGTGAGGACCAATTTCAGTTTTGGACCTTTAGATCAAGAGAGGACGTTTTTGGAAACTGGGGACATGTTTAGCAGCCCCTACTTCCTCAAAGGGCTGTCTCAGGGTTAGCACTTCATTTTTGGGATACAGTTAGATTAATATTAAGTTTAAGGGCTTGGACGTCTGCACCAGTATACTGTAGTTATCACATTGTAGTGACAAATACTCATTCGCACAGTAACATTACGGGGACTCACCTCTTATCTGGGGACAAAAAGCTAGTTCCCACAAAGCTAACCAATGCTTTTAGGGTTAAGACTTGGCATTAGTAGTACACACCAGAGTCTGCATATAGACAGAAGAAGGACCAATCAAGGTTCAGCAGCCAGGTTGTGTCCATCCACAAAATAAATAATAATAATAAGGTATTCTGGTGAGTTAACAGAAGTAGGACAGTTGCAAGTAACAAGTATCAGCGTCTTGACACATGTTGCGGGTTGAACTGTGGGGTTACACAGAGAAGAAAAGGTACGAGTATTTTCATGTGCATCATACACCTCTGGTGTATCCCTCAATTTCACACATGCTCTTCAGGTTGCCTAAGGGAATTCTGGGATATCTAGGAACTTAATTTCTTGAGCAGTAACAGAGAGGGAGGTTGGTTTGAAAAGTCAAACCAGCACTTGACCATCCCTTATTACTACCATCTAGGTGCCCTTGAGCAAGGCAGTTAAACCCCAGCTGCTGCTACAGTGGAGCGGCTCAGTAGCCAAAAAGGGCAGAATGAAGAGGAATAAGTTTAGGTAAACATTTGATCTAAAAATAACTCTTGGAATGCACCGAGGTATCTGATTTATAATTTTTTTCTTTATAAGACAAAGCTGTGATATTTCCTCTGCGTTAGCCTGGTCGTGCACCAAAGGAGAGTTTATTTCTGTTTGGACACTCAGTGCATCCCGTCCCACCACTCCTCCCCCTGTGAAATAAACCTGCAATTTCACATCTGACAACCTCAGAGGAGCCAAGACGTGCAGCACTGGGAGGATGTTTTCTACCTCAAGACAAAAATTCAGTATGACCCTACATGGGGGGGGTAAGGAGTTAAATGTCTCGCTCAAGGGCTCCTCAACAGGACACGTGGTCCCTGTGAAGCTTGTGACACCTGACTGTTGGTAATATCTTTTTCTGCTGCTGTTTCCCCCACAGCAAGGGGCTCCACAGGAGGAAGGGGTGATGCGCGGAAATCAAAAAATTAGGTCAAAGTCTGCGTGATGCGAGGAAGCTTTGCATTTGCTGCCGGCGTACATTTACAACGTCAGCTGAGCATGTAAATAATGCAATGGGGCATCTGACCCCATTTCCCCCAGACGCACTTGTTTACATTGGAGCAACTCCGAACTGGCTGTTCACATAAAAAACAAAAAGACAAAAGGAATGTGTGTCACCTTTTCCCCATCCTTCTTTCATTTCCCTCTCAGCTTTGATGCAGACCCCTCTGAAACCTGCATTTGCAGCAGCAGCAGTGGAAACATTAAAATGCGATGGGTGCATTAGCAGTCAGCTGTTAAAATCACTTCCTCTCTCTCCCTCTGTGTCCTTTCTTTCTTTCTCCATACATGGCTGAGCTCCGCGAAGCCTCCAGACTCCATGAGAAACAGGCAAAACACTGCTCTCAGGCAGCTGAAATATGACACTATGATACTCTCCAGGCAGAGAGTGAGTCTGCAGCAATGTGACATATCAATCTGAAAAAGCAGAGGGAGGGGGTGGGGGGGCGCGCTAATGAGAAAATCAATACCAAGGCTGCATTACAGAGTCATGCAAAAGAAACCAATAAATGCTCCGGTGTTATGGAAAGAAACTGGAATATAATGGAAATCATTCATCCCCTCCAAATGCTGCCTGGCTGCAGTGTGTCATGTGAAAACTGTGTCTGCTAACAGCTGCACACTCTGTGCACATAATCTAAACAGCATGCAGAGTTCTGCTGAACAGGATTTTCCAATATGACTGCGAAAAAAACCCTCTCTGTCAACAACTTCTTATTGACAAACGCATCGATACGTGTCTATGGCATTCCTGTGATATTCCCACTGGGGACTAGAACGTCTCTCTGGTGCTCAATAGAGACTTTTAAATGCACTTTATGGTGCTGCTGATCTGCTATGATATCTGACAATAGAAATATTAGTCAACTAATCAACAAAAGATGCATCTGCAACTATTTTAACAACCAATTCTTAAAAGACCAAATATTATCTAGCTCCAGCTTGTGAGTATTTGCTGTTTGTCTCAGTTTAAATGATTGTAAACTGAATATATTGGGGTTTGGGACTGTTGGTAGGACAAAACAAGACATCCAAAGACACCACCTTTGGCTCTAGGAACTCATGATGGCCATTTTTCACTATTTGTAACACTTTAGCGAAACGCTTTTGCTGCTTTTCTGTTGCATATGAATGTAACCTGAGTCTTTTGGTTTTGCAATTGGCAAAAAGCAATTTGAAGTTGTTAAATTGAGCTGGGGACACTTCTTTATCATCAATTAATAAATTGGAAAGGATCAATCATGAAAATAATCAATAGCTGCAGCACATTTACTTCTGTAGTTTAGTTTGATGCATAGTAAGGACTTTATGTTAATATAGACTGGTGCTTTATGCCATTTTTCTGTATCTGTGTGAAGTGTACAGTAAAGCTTATGGCTCAAATGTGATTTTTGGGTACTTTCTGATTAGTTATCTTTCATGACATAGGCTACCATGAGAACATCACAAGAATAGCCTACTATAGTGCTTCCACAGCAAGCCAAGTCTGTACACCACCAAACACCACCAAACACCACATCCCCTGCATCCAAATCACAGCCAGATAAACCTAAGCAGTCATTAAGGCAGCGTGTGCGCGCGTGTGCGTGCGTGTGTGTTTCACAAATATGGACTTGAACTAGTGGCAGTTGGAGCTCAACACTTTTCCTCCTCGCAGCACAAACTCTGCACCGGTTTGTCCTCTCAGCAGAGACCGACCAGCAGCGACTCAAACACCCCACAGAGCAGCAGCAGAGCCCGGCAGAGCCGCCGAGCTCAAGTACTCACCCTCGGATAACTCCAGCTCCAGCTCGGCCAGTTTGGCCCGCACCTCCGCAGGAAGCGGCACCGGGTCCCGGTCCGCCATTCCGCCGTGAGAAACCGACTTAAATCTCTGTTTCCCGTCTCTTTCTCCCTCTTTTCTGCCTCCCCGCTTCTCCTCAAACGCACAAAATATCCAAAGTCAGTCAGGCTGCGAGTCTCCGTGTGTCGCACTCTGTGCGGCAGCAGCGCTGTTAGCCCTCTGCAGACCAGTGGCAAGAGCTCCAAAACATGACGGTTCTGCTTCCGGTGTTTTTATTTTACAAATAAGAGCCTACGCACTATTTTGTGGCTCATGCCCACATGCGACTACTGCAGCTCATATAGGCTACCATATGTATATATGTTGTCTTTTTCTCTCTCCCAACCCTACTTTCTTTCTTTCTTTCTTTCTCTTCACATCCCTTGTTTTCTTCTTCTTCTTAATCTCATGTAGGCCCAGCTCTCCCATTAACATAGTAACATTCTGTATCTATAGCCTATACTGTATTTATTCTAAATTCAATGGATAACCTTTGTTTTGTGACATCAGTAGCTATCTGTTTTGTCTTGTAGTCTGAATGTTTTGCTGTCCGTCTAATATTTGGCTCCTGTTGTGTTAAAAAAGTAGCCTACTCAAAAATATGAGTTGGCAAAGTCAAAATGTTGAGATAGTAAGTCAGAGTTTTAAGCCAAAATACTCAGTCCAAATTTTGACTTTTTATCTCAATATTTAATAAAGGTCCCAAGCTTGAGGACTAAATGGGGACAACCATTATTTCATGATTGTGACTTAAAATTACTTATATGACTTTTCTAATAATTTTTAAATGCCAAACATGAAACAATGGATATACATGCATGAACTGAATAAAGTAGTTTCACAAAAAAAGTGCAGACCCTGATGCTTCCTTTTTTCCCTCAACGAGGTGCCCTATGCCTTTATTTTGTAGGCAAAATCATCCATTTTCCTGTTTGACGCTTGTTAATTATGGCTGACTTAATGCACCTGACAGGTAGATTATACTGTAGGTGACTTTGGACAGAATGAAAACGGTCATAACTGAACACACAAACATTTTCAATTTATCAACTGCAGACAAAGTAGTTTTTCTGTTTTGAGGGGAAAAAGTCACATCTCCTGCTGATTTTTTTTTTTAATCAAACTGATAAAATAAACGTCTGAGGGCGCCAGACAAAATCTATCTATCTATCTATCTATATTAGTGCATGAATTAACCCACAAAGTAAGTCCTTAAAAACGAATAAGAATCACCTGACTCCACCCGACTCAGGTATGTTGTATATTAAGATATCATTCAGATTACTGTTTAAGTTTGACAGATGGATCAGGTGTAAACATAAAGACTTTTGTCTGAGCTAACATGCATTCATTTGTAGCAACACGTTACTCATTTGTAAAATTGTTAGTTACGTGCTATTTATATTTATTAACTTTTTCTCTCTTCTAACTCTGTTTTTGGTCTCCACCAGCTCCTGAGGGAAATGTATGTCCCAGCTGCTAAATGCTCCACTATGTTGACCAGACTCTAAACCGTGTGGCTGTTTGCTGCAGAGCAGGTAGCCTATTGTGTACAGTGGCAATGGTGCTATGAGAGCAACGTACTTTATTATTGTCCATCATAGATAGATGGATACTTTATTTGATTCTTCACAGGAAATTGAATTTGCTACAGTAGCAGCAACCACATACAGGCAACACCATCTATATGGTTGATTTTATTAAATAAAAAGTTTACAATAAGTAAAGAGAAATAATTTCATAAGTGAAAAAATAATACAAATAAGCTAGAATATATTGGAGTCTATGATAATTGTCATAAAAAACATAGATAAAAATGAATAAAAGATAAAAGAAGCCCATTTGTAAAAGTTATTGCACCTCAAGGACACATTTGTAAAGTGTACAATGTACAGAGTACAATGAAATACCCATACAGTTATTTCCTATTGAATAGCCTAATAGGAGGCAGGCAGGAAATACTTGAATGGTGAAATTGAGTTTTGTAACTCCCTTCTGCTACATAGCAGACACTTTACATTAATACAGAAGCAATTATGAAAATGGTAAACATTAATAAACTATAATCAGTGGAGCAGTGCTGAGGATGAATTAGAGTTTAACAGTCTGATAGTTTGGGGGGAAAGCTGCTCTGCAGTCTGGTGGTGTGGCAGCTGAAACTTCTATATCTCTTCCCAGAAGGCAGCAGGGTGAACAGGCTGTGGCTGGGTGGGTATCGTCCTTTAGTATCCTTTGGGCTCTGCAGGATCTTCTGAGCCGTTTGAATCCCCCGCTGCAGAGCCCTCCGGTCCTGGGCCGTGCACATCCCATGCCAGTTAGTGATGTTTCCAGTCAGGATGCTTTCTATTGCTCCTCTGTAAAACCTGACAAGAACTTGGCATGGGAATTTGGCCTTCTTAAGCTTCCTCAAGAAATACAGTCGATTCTGAGCTTTCTTCACCAGCATGGAGATGTGAGACGACCATGTCAGGTTCTCTGTGATGCTGATTCCCAGAAACTATTCACTTGCTCCACCTCAGCACCACTGATGTAGACAGGAGTGTGTGTTATCTCCTTTTTCCTAGTGGGTGCACATCATTGTTCATGATACTGTTCATTTTTCTTAGCATCCTCACCTCTGCCACGGGCTTAACATGGTCCTGCATGATGCCAATAATGGAGTTCGCCTTCTTAATCAATTTATTTAGTCCGTTAGTCCTGTCAGATGTGTGAGCGTCCGCCTCCCAGCACACAACACTGGCCACAACAGTCTTTTTGAAGGTGCACGGTTGGCAATGGTTGGCAGATGTTCAAAGACTGCAGCCTCTTCAAGAAAATATAGCCTGCTCTGACCCTTTTTATATACCGCCTCCATGTGGCTGGACCAGTCAACTTTGTTGTCCAGCTGTGCTCCTAGGTACTTAGTTAGTTGGATACAAGCTCCACATCTGTTCCCTGCATGGAGATTGGATGTGGTTTGTGCCTCTTTCTCCAACAATCAAGGACCATTTCTTTGGTCTTTGAGATATTGAGCCTTAGGTGGTTATTGTTACACCAGTCCACAAAGTCACTAACTGTGCCCCTATATTCACCCTCACATCCTCCCCCGATGCAGCCCACAAGAGCTGAACCATCTGAATATTTCTGAAGAAAACAGGTGCCAAGTCAGATGTGTACAGACTAAACAGTAAAATGTGACAGAACTGTTCCCTGTGGGGCACGTGTATGGCAACCAACATCTTAGAAACACAGTTTTGGAGCCGCACCTACTGAGGTCTGGCAGATAAATAGTCACCAGGAAACAAGCTCCGACTCCATCTGCATTCTCCTCATCTTTTCACCCAGCAACTCTGACTGGATGGTATTGAATGCACTTGAGAAGTTGTATACATTTATTTTTTTTATTTCTTTCTTTCAAGCAAAATAGTGTGACAACAGAAAAGATACACAATAATAATAACTTATACACTTATGCTTGAAATAGAGTGGGAAGAAGTAAAACTTATTAAACCCCACCCTAGTCTATCAAAGAATTTATACATACAAAAAATAACTGCTTCCTTCATCAATAATCTCAAAGAAAAAATATTAATAATTAAAATAATAATAATAATAATAATAACTCATTTAGAAACAGTGGATGCACAAGTCAAAACCACACATTCATACCATACATACTAATAATATACAAATATTTCCACAGGTAACAATGATAATCAAATACCAACAATGGTAGATGGAATACCACAAAAGTACATAGTGACGAACAACTACCAACAATGGTAGACGAAATACCACAAGGGTAAATAACTGACAACTAATCCAACAATCTGCACAACATGAATACAATCAAACCTCATTGTCATTGTAATGGAACCAGACCTTTCGTTTGTAAAGACGTTTGAAATTGTGAATGCCTTGACACTGCTTTAATTCAAGCCCCAGATTATTCCACAAAGTAACCCCACAAACAGACATAGAATAACTCCTCCTGGTGGAACTCGCCATTGGTACCGCAAAGTTTCCAAAACCTCTCAAACTGTACGACTGCTCCTTATGAGAAAACATATTTTGAATGTTCACAGGTAATAAATAGTGATACGCTTTGAACATGAACTGTGCATTATAAAATTTTACAAGATCCTGCATTTTTAATAGCTTTGATTTGAGAAAGAGAGGATTTGTGTGTTCAAAATAGGCGGCCTTGTGTATAATTCGTATAGCTCTTTTCTGTAGCAAAAAAAGTGACTGTATTACATATTTGTAATTATTGCCCCATACCTCTATACAGTAGGTTAGATATGGCTGTATTAAAGCACAATACAGGGTATGGAGTGCCTTGATGTCAAGGATATGCTTAACTCTACTTATTATAGCAAGGCTTTTGGAGACTTTTGTTGTTATATGTCTGATGTGGGCATTCCAACTTAGCTTGGTGTCTATTGTTACACCTAAAATTTTATTTCCTGAACATTTTCAATGTGTACTCCGTCTATGTCAACCAGTTTCTGCGAATCAGCTTGATACTTTCCAAAAAACATCACTTTGGATTTATCTAGGTTTAAGGATAATTTGTTACTTTCCATCCATTTTTTAAATTTACTTATTTCTTTGTTTGTAACGCTAATCAGTCGCTCCAAACTATCGTTACTATAAAAATATTTGTATCATCAGCGTACAATACACATTTAACCAATAGAGAAACATTGAAAATATCATCAATATATAAGTTAAATAATTTGGGGCCCAATACTGACCCCTGCGGGACACCACAAGCAATGTCAAGACATCCAGAAGAGAGCTCACCCATTTGGACAAACTGTACTCTGTCGCTCAAATAACTTTTCACCCATTTCCCAGCAACCCCCCGTATTCCATATCGTTCTAATTTCTTAAGTAATATATCATGATTAATGGTATCAAAAGCTTTTTTAAGATCTATAAAAATTCCTATTGCAAGTTTTTTGTTTGTTAGAGCCTTCGATATTTCTTCTGTAGCGTCAATTATGGCCATCGAAGTTGATCTGTTGGGTCTGAACCCATAT